ACAGCACTTCAAACACAGTTTTTGCAGGGGATGGATGCATGTTCTTCTCGAACTCGTTTTATACGTTTCTTAAAATGAAAATGTCCATTTCCAAATTGGCCACTCATAATCAAAGGGATCAATTAATTTCAAAGCAGAAGGAGTAGTGCTGGATCATAGAAGGTAGGTGGAAGATGAAGCGGGCGGCTTCGAAGCATAGTTGGTGGTTGACAAACCTCGTCGGCCTCTTGGTGTAGGATCACCTTATAGTTCGAGCCACAAAATTCAGGTTCCATGGACGACAAAACCTGACCATGCTAATAGAACTAATTGACACACAAATCCATTTACCCACAAAAGCCCATCAAACAACAACTACCATTTTTTAGTTAAATTGCAGTGACTGTCTTGCCCAAAAGTTGGATTTGCCCCTTTGACTTTAACCCGCTGTAATGTCCGTTACGTTTTGACTCGCTAGTTTCATAGTGCTTTGTCTCACAAAAGAGTATTAATGTAGGATTTATAGTGCTACCAAGATCCCTTTGAGATCATGACATTGATGTAGATTTTACAACTCTACCGAAAGAGTATCTAATATTTCAGAATCAGTTTAAATATCAATTGTCACAATTCATATCAACTTTCATGCTTGTTAAACTCATAATTTTATACCAGAAAAATAATTCATAAATTGAAAGTGGTGTGAAACTTTAAATGTTTAATATCACTTTAGTACACACTTAATGTGGGATTCATGATTTTTTTTAAAATCATGACATTTTCCCTTGACTCATTTCTAAGAGCTTGTTTTTTATGTGAGATTTTTATGGCTCTACTTGCTAGGAGCATATAATGTGGGGTTTACATAACTCTCCATTGGGACCATGACATCACACAGCCAATGTGCCATTGAGACAAAGACAGTGAACTCTTATTAAAATGAGGAAGATGTTACAGTATTAAAGAGAATACATGATCTCAGCGACTAAAGTCATAAATCCCACGTTCAAAAGAAGTTTCCAATAAAGAATCAAGGGAGGGGAGCCATGAATCCCACATCGACTATATACTAAAGTGATGTTGGGTAATTTCACACCACTATTAAACCACGAGGTATATTTGTGAGACAAAATTGTGAAGCTAACTAGTTAAATTGGACAATATCTCATAAGGATTGATGTGGATCATCACAATCAAAATCAAAGTAAACTCTAAGATACTAACAATGTGTCACTAAAAATAATGAGCTTTTGTTGAAATAAAGAATGATGTAGTAGACCCTTGTTGATATAGGGAAAGATGTAGCTCATTGATGTGGACCATGAATTAGTATCAGAATAAACTTTGAAATACTAATGGAAGATGTTACGCTCCAAACAAAGAACCCTGATCTCAACGGAAAACCATAAATCCCACATCCAAATAATTGAAGAGCTCCTAGATGCAATGTAAAATCATCATTGGCAACAGCATCAAACTTTGATGATTAGTGAGGCTTTGATTAGGCATAGTACTTGGAGTTAAAATACTGAAATTAGACTTAAGTTCTTACTAAAGCTTTAGTTAAAATATTCTTCAGATACATTCCCGGGAATGATTTCGGCCCAACCAAACCGACCCTGAAAATATTGGCTTAATAACCAGACATCATCTTGATTTGAATTTAGATAGGCCCTACTCCCAATTATAAGGCAAACAACCTCAAACTATTTATCTTGTGTTGTGAGCAAGAAAGAGAGGGAGAGAGTTCTTTTGGTGAGTTCGAATGAAAAAAGGACGCAACATCAGATAACACTGTTGGATTTCAAAATGGTTTGCAAGTCCTTAGCCAATAATTTAAGTTCATAGAAAGGTAAAAGGGGTAGCATACTTAATTAACAAGCAGTTGGGCATCGCAATCTCATGACAATTTTGAGGAAAAAAAAAAGCAAAGTACTCTCTGGTTTACTATCAAACATCATAAACGATCAAAAACATGAACTCTGCTTCTAGTAAAGAAACCCCCCTCTAATGAATTTCTTAATCCTTGTGCTGCTGAACAACTTCAACGCCCTCGTGCTGTTCCCCGTAATCCTGCAGGGGAAAAAAAATAAATCCCATCAATCATAAAATTAGGAATGTCATAAAATTAGGAATATGCATTCCAAAGTTTTCTACAAATTGCTAGCCAAAATACGGTGAAAAGGAAGAAAACATATTGATGAAACAAATATTGCCAAAGTAAACTGGAATGTACTTCCATGCATATGTTCATACCTTCACAACTACACAAGAGCAACCGACTACCTTCCTTGCTTTCCCCTCAGAATCTATCTTACACAACTGCATACAGAGTTAAAACACAATTAGCATTTACAGCATTAGGATTTGGCAGCATAACGTAATTGTGGGTTTGCAACGTTATTCCCAGAGGAGGAAAAAGTTACATGGTCATAGGGGTGTGCTTCTGAGCACCAATTAGAGAGAGCTGAGAAATAACTCATGTTTCATATCATACAATCAGACACCAGTTCATATTTTTTTTTTTCTAAAGTCTCAACCGAAACATATTGATGAACATTTGATAAGGAAGAATCACTGACATCTGCCATATAACTAAGAACAACCTAACATACTGTAAAAAATCACACAACTAAAACATCAGATAGCACCCTCAGCATGTCCTGAAATGCATGGAAATAAATAAAATATTAATGAGCAATGGCATGTCACATACACCAGCCCACTCGCCAAGAGTTTTTGCACTCGGTGCAACTAGCACTTTAACATTGTGATCTGCACAGAGTGCCTTGACCAGTTTAACATAATCTGGCTGGTCACAGTCCTCCGCAATAACACAAAGATGTGCGGTGTTCTTTTCAATTGCCTTGGCAGCTTCATGGAGGCCACGTGCAAGACCACCATGAGCTTGTGACTTCCTCACCACAAGGGGCAAGGCTGTGTTGATGTCCATTGGCTCACCAGCTGAAACTGGTACCTCAGGTGTAGCAACAGCAACTTCTTCTCTGGAAACGAAATAAACAAAAACAGCATAAATACATGCAGATAATATAAAAAAACACAAAAGCTTATACCTTTCAAAGATAGAAATAATACACAAATACCCAGAAAATCCTAAGATGTTTTGATTCCCCCATTCTAACAAATCTTAAACAATTCAAACAAGCAGGCAAAACATCTCAAATAAAACACAGAGTAAACACATCCTAGCATAAAATAAGTACCATTGCCATTCATTCTACGCTTAAAGCAAACTAAACCCAAAGTGTATAAAAGGAAAATGCAAGCAACTAGAAGTCATATGGAGATATTAAAACAAACCCAACAACCAGGGCAAATACAATGGAAATACCACTTATATTCTACGACCGACGGGCCTAAATCTTTACATAGGAATAACTTGTCACTTACCCGGACATTTTTTGAGCTGAAGTAGGGATCAGAGGTTCTGCTTCCTGGTGCCAAAAGAAATAAAAATAAGTCAAGCAAACAGATCTTTTACAGTACGACACTGAAAGCTGAGCAAAAACATTTTACTTTGTTATTCAGTAACTCTTTTTGGTGGGAGAAATCAAAAGGATCGTTTGACGAGTTAAATCAGAGAAATCAAAGCAAACTAGCAGGAAAAGGGTTAAAGAACAAGAGAGAGCTAACCTTAGAAGAAGTGAAGAAACTGAAGAGCGGCGCTAATCTGCTGGGGCGGAGGAATGGGAAGGGTTTAGCAAAGTGGAGATTTTATAACGCAGACGGCCTCTCAAACCCTATTTTTATTTTTGTTTTTGTTGTATGGGCCGTGGGCCTTTTTCCTCTTCTGCTTTCTTTCGGCCCGAATGGGCCGAGTTCCATTCCTTATTGCTTTATCTGCTTTTAATAAAACTAAGCCTGTTTGTTTTAAAGTAAAATAAATTTTAAAAAAAATATTTTCAAAATTTATGTTTATTAAAAAATAAAAAATTTATTTCAAATGTAAAATAATTTATCAGTTAATGAGAAAAACAATCATTGATTACCCAAAATATCTTACCAGTTAATGAGAAAAACCATAATTGATTTCAAAAAATATCTTACGTTTTATTTTTCAGAAACTAAAAAAACAAAACTCTTATTTTAAATTTAAAAATGTAAATTTGATAAATATTAATATTTATCTTAAAATATTAAAAAATAAATAAATTATTGACTTCTATTTAATAAAACTAATTATATTCATAAACTTATTTAATTAAATAAATATATAAAAAATTATATATCATAATTTGATAATTAAATAATATTCATATAATCACAGTATATAACACATGTATTTAGTTTAATGTTTTGAAAAAAAAAATACTTTAATAAATTAATTTTTTTATTATTAATATAAAAATTAATAAATTATTAATTTATCAATTAATTAATAAATTTTCAACATGTATTGATTTATAAAAGTTTTAATGTATAGCACTTATATCCCTGTTGAAAGGTAAGAAATGAAAACGAAACTGATACTACAATGATTCAAAGTTCAAGTAACATAGATACCCTTGCTTTGCACCAAATTCTCTCAACATAGCTATGACCAGGAATGAACACCTCAAGCAGGCTTCAAGCAGAGTTGTAATTTATGAAAAGATTTGGTAGACAAAGCAACCAACATAATAAAATCATAAGGAAAATGTCTAAAACTAACCATCCAAATCCAGCATGGCGCCAACAATTGATCTTTGAAATCAACACAAATATTTAACAACATTATTCCATCAGAGGATTCATCTGATATGAACTACATAAGAATACCGAGGACTGATGTTAATCACTCTCAACACCTCTTTTATTCCATGTTTTGAAAGCTATTGTTGATTCATCTTTAATGCTTTCCCCTATTCTGTACTCAACTAATATAGGACAAAACTCAAATTCAGCAACAACAGGATCTAAAGGTAACACAGCCTTCCAAAAGCCATCATACCAAACCAAAGCAACAGTTATAAAGCATGTTATGACAGTTCATAAATGAAATTAGGTATATGCTAGAATTGTAGGATAAACAAGTATAATTCAATTCAGTTTTTATAAATAAGAAAAAGTACACTGAGGGAATGGCAACCTCAAAACACATCGACATTCTCCATTCATGAACTAACAAAGAAAAACACCAACACATCACCTTAACAAGGAAGCACTAGAATAAAACTGGCACCATCAATTCCGACCAAGCGGGAGTGATCTACAGGTGAAAGTTTCCTTAAAATTCGACTTCTTTGAAGAAGTAAATATAGATGCGTAAACTTCCTTAGTGGCATTAGCTGGTGCCAAATTTGCAGCTCTAAACTTCTTCACTCCACCATTACTCAATGCCTTCTCATTCTCAAGTTTTCCATTCCCTTCCAATTTACCACAACCCTTCTCCCTATCGACAACATCAATACCCCTTTTCTTCTTCTCCTTCGCTGTTTTTGCCTTCTCTTCCTCCATCATCTCCCTCAACACAGCTACCTCCTCCTCATTCCCATTAATCACCATCTTATCAGACTCCGCAAACTCCTTATGACAAACCAAACAAGTTGATGACTTAACCTCTTTCAAAGCCTTGGCACTAACCACATGCCCACAATTCTTCAATGCAAAAAACTTATACTTTCCATTGAATTCAAGCCCCGTTATGGGGCACTGAAACGTAGCTCCATCGGCAGCATCTGATTCCTTCCCGGGAATTATCGACAACTTAATATTGACCATATCTTTCAAACCCTTTATGTGTCTAAACTCTTTGGGCAATTTCTTGCCCAACAAAGCTTGAACAAGAGCTTCCTTATTGAAAATATTCCCTAATTTATCAATCACACAAGGTTCTCTCAAGGGTTCATTAGATAAAGCGCAATTGAGCCACTTACCGAGCCTTTGCTCATTCGGGTCGACTTTATCGGGCTTTTTAACGGCGTACATCTTGAGATAACAGTCGCGGGACTCGGCTCCCGTGGCTCCGCCATCTCCACCGCCGCCAGAGAGGCGGGGGACGAGAAAGAGAGTGGAGAGAGGGGTGAGTTGGGAGTTTGGAAGAAGGGTAGAATCGGACAAAGGTTTTCCATTGAGGGTAAAGTAGAAGGACGAGAGCAATTGGGGCTCTGGAAGGAGAGACGATTTGAGGTGGTGGAGCGTTAGGGATTGGGTTGGTTCTAGGGCTACGGTCAGGGTTTGGTGATTTGGGGATCGGACGAAGAACTGAAGATGCATCTTTTCAGGAGATTTCGTCAGTGAATTTGACTAGCGGGAAATCCTGTGGGTCAATTTTATAGACGATCGCGGAGGGGAACACCGACTTTCGAAACGGCGGCGGTTCGGCGATTCGTCTACGAAAGGAAACTAAAAAAGAAAGGCGGAGGGGACCATATAAATGATCGGGAAAATGCTCAGACCCAATTTGTGCAGGCCCAATATTGGAAATGAAGGGACAGTGGATAATAGGATATCGGAGGCCCAGATTCAGGCTCAAGCCAAATATTGGAAGTCAAGAGAAGGGACCAGATTTAAGCCAGCCCATGTAGGAGCGAAAATGATAAAAGCCGTGCTTTCATTGAGAGTCGAACTCAAGACCTCCCGCTTACTAAACGGGTGCTCTAACCAACTGAGCTATGAAAGCTTTTATGTTGTCTTAAAAAAGTAATATAATTATAATCAAATAATAAAAATTAGAGTCTGCTTTACCTGTTAAGGGTAAGCAAATGGATGAATTAGGTGCTTCAATCCACCATGCCTAAAAAATAAATGGATCAAATATTTTTAGAAAATTGATTAAATATAAAATTAAATTGATCGATTAAATTTTGGATCAAAATTTTTATTATTTTTTTATAAATTATAATATTAAAATTTATAAACTTCATTCATAATTATAAAATATACAAATTATGTATAAATTAAATATATATATATATAATATATTACTTTATTATATATATGATATTAATTACACAAGTTACATGTTATAATATTTTAATTTTTATATTAAAATATGTATAAATAATAACTAAGTATAAACAATATGTTATAAAAATTAAGATGATAACTAATAAAATTATTAAGTGTAACCATATAAATAAAATCTATTATAAATTATAGCAATGGTTATGTATAAATTAAATATATGTTTATATATATATATATACATATATTATATAATTTTATTATGTATATATGAAATTAATAACACAACTTATATGTTATAATACTTTATATCAAAGTTTGTATAAATAATAACTAATTATAAATAATATGTTATAAAAATTAAGTTGATAATTAATAAGATTATTAAGTGTAATCAGATAAATAAAGTTTATTATAAGTTATAGTAATACTTGTATATAAATTAAATATATATATAATTTTTATATAATTATATATATTTATAATATTTTATATTAAAAAATATTATTAAGGTGTAATAATTATAACATATTAATATGTATAATATTTACAATCATATATTACAATATTAATATATAAGTTATAGCATTTAAAATATATAATTTATAATTATATATTAATACAAATTTATAAATAAATAAATATATAACTAAAATTAAATTATTACAATTATAATTTGTATTTGTATATATAATAAATTAATATGTTTTAAATATATTATTAATTAAATTTACTATCAACTCTTCTTAATATATATAAAAATATATATATTAATATATATAATGTATATAAATTTAATTTTATTTTTTAGGTGAATTAGTGTAAAAATTTTCAAATCAAGAATGAATAAAAAATTAATTAAATTAAATATTTTAAACCAGTTGATCAAATAAACTAATTAGATCAAATCATTTTACTTAAATTATATTTGATTTGAATAAATAAATAATTTAATTTAATTTTGCTCACCTTCAAAGAATAGTTGTATTAAGTTAAAAAAAAAGTAAATTATCAAAAAAGAAAAAGAAACAGTGAAAGTTGAAGCAACAGATGTGAAAAGTATACATGGGGGTATAAAAGCCTGTCTACTCATAAGAAAGTGCCTGGTCTTTTGCTCTTCTCTCTCTTTATCCCTTCCATGCTGTTGCAATGTGAAGACCAGGAAAGCTTTTATCCAAAAGCTTTCTTCCTCTTCACCATCCCATTGATCATCATTACTGAAAAGGAAAATTTTTGAGCTCCAAAACATTTTCCCTGAGATTGTCCTCTTCTGAGATAAGAAATTTGCCATAAGCCCTCTTCTATCATCTTTCATTTCATCTCCCTTAATCCCTTTACAAGTTTCGATCTACTTCCCATTTCATTGCCTCCAATCTGACATTGGTAAGATCTCATGTTCTTTGCCTTAATTTTTTCTTCAAGCTTGTTGAATTTTCAGTGTTTTGATTGGTTTTTCTGTTGATCTGGAGAAATGGGTACTAATTAATTAATTTTGTTAGTGCAGATTTTGAGGATATTGTGTTTTTGCTATTTGTCATAGAATCGAAAGTTGTTCCTTTCTTGGTGAAGAAAAATGTCGATTTTGCCAAAGAGTGAATCAATTCACATTAGGGAAGTTTGGGAGGAGAATCTAGGAAGTGAAATCGAGTTAATTAAAAATATTGTGGACGAGTACCCTTACATCGCTATGGACACTGAGTTCCCGGGTATTGTTCTTCGCCCAATAGGAAATTTCAAGAGTAGTTTTGAATACAATTACCAAACTTTGAAGGCAAATGTTGATCTTTTGAAATTGATTCAGTTGGGCCTTACTTTCTCTGATGACAAAGGGAATTTACCTACTTGTGGAACTGATAAATTCTGTGTTTGGCAATTCAATTTCCGTGAATTCGATCCCAATGAGGATGTTTATGCTAATGATTCCATTGAGCTTTTATCTCAAAGTGGCATTGATTTTAAGAAGAACAAGGAAAAGGGTGTTAGTGCCCATCGGTTTAGTGAACTGTTAATGTCATCTGGGGTTGTTTTGAATGATAGTGTGCATTGGGTGACTTTTCATAGTGGTTATGATTTCGGGTATTTGCTTAAGTTGCTCACTTGCAAGAATCTTCCCGAGACACAAGCAGAGTTCTTTAGTTTGATCGATATATATTTCCCTACTCTTTATGATATCAAGCATCTGATGAAGTTTTGCAACAGCCTTCATGGCGGGTTGAACAAGCTTGCAGAGCTGTTAGATGTGGAGAGGATTGGTATCTGTCACCAAGCTGGTTCGGATAGTTTGCTTACTAGTTGTACATTTATGAAATTGAAAGAAAACTTCTTTAGTGGGTCGACTGAGAAATATGCTGGTGTTTTGTATGGTCTTGGTGTTGAGAATGGACAGAATACACATTAGAAAGCACAGAATTATGGAAATAAGATGAAAATAAAATCTTTTCCTTAGATTTTGTGTTCCATTTTGCTATCTACTTCTGCTATCAATTCTCGTATAATCAGCCTATATTGGTAGACCTCTTATACTTGTTTGTTTTACTCTTGTTGGTTAGCAAAGAATGCATATGAGTGGAGGGAGAGGAGGAAGGGAAAGAAATAGAAATGTTTCAGAATAGCCAAGGGAGAAGGCCCTATCTTCTGACATTTTATGTCTAATTCTAAGCTTACTTTCCAGAATCCTGACAAAGATGTGTCATGCCCTGGTCTTCTGAGTAACGGCATTCAAATAAAATAGGTGGAAGGATAGTTTCATGGTGGCTTTGACCTATTCCTATGTGTTTGTTTACTGATATGGTAACCCTATCCAAATGTGTGTATAAGATCAAATTCTACTTGATGTCTCTTTCTTTCATTGCAATTATTTCATCGTGTCTCAGTTCAACAGCCATAACTCAGCTTTGCTAAGGAGCAACTGTGATGTAACTTGAGTTTCTTGTATGTAATTAGTTCTAGTGCTATATTATTTGATGCCAAGACACTGCTATTTTGCAAAGCAGATGCTGAATCAAAGATTGCAGACTGATAAAGATACTGTTAATCATACTTAAAAAAGGCGAAAAAGGGGACATGATTAGGGGAAATAAACTGTAAGATTCATCAGTCGTCATCATCACAATTAAGTAAATGAAGTAAAATTGGGGAGGGGAGGAGGGGGAAAAAGATTTCACAGGACTCTCTGAAGCTATATATTCTTGCTGAGCCATTAATATTTGCATTGAAGAAGGAATAATAGAATTCAATGCAGCGGTTTACCTTACATCATCTCCTCCTGCGTTTCCTGACAATTCTCTGTTGTATACAAAGTAATGGCTTCCTTTGGTTTTAAGATTACAATCTTTTCTGAAGTTTCAGAGCTCACGTAAAGGGTATCTGCAACCTGGGTTGCACTCGTTTAACTCTTTGAAAGCTGGTACCACAGCCTTATAAACCTCTTCACCCCAGTCTTCGTTTAGCTCTTCTTTCTCGTCATTTTCATCCAAAGCTTCCTGGAACCTGTAAAAACATCACGGGTTAGGATATTTGGTCACAGAAAGAACTGATCCATATTTCCGTCCGCGTACGCTAGGAAATATACCAGCACAATAAAAAATCAGACTCGATCAGAGGCATACCTCGGTTATTCCCTTCAACCCTGAATCCAGGATTATTTCTTGCCATTGGGGCTAAACTTCTTAAATGCATTTTGAAATGGCTTCTCCCACCTTCTTGACTCCGATGACTGTAGGATGATGAGTCGGATGCCCATCCAACCCCTATAATGCAAAAAGTTTGGCTTCAAATTAGCAAAGATTCAGAATCTTCCAATGCCTCGGCCATTCCCTTCGATTCTCCTTCCATGTCCCGCATCATTTCTGCATTCCGATCCCTTATCATTACCACCTCCCATGGACTCCAGCACCTTTAGTTCCCTTTAATTCTTCGATTTCCATTTGCAATTTCGTTTTTGTCTCCTCTTTTTTTTTTGAAAAAGCTTATGTTATGAATTTGGGGAGTGTAAAATACCTCCAACAAAGTTCCATAATTAGAGGAGAGAAACCTCACCAACATAATAATAATCTCCACAATTAGCAGAAAAAAAAACAAAGAATCAAAACCATAAATGGAAAAAAAAAAATGGAAGAAGAGAGAATTAAGCCGTCACAACAAATTTAAAGATGAAATAAATGTGTATTCATTCTTTCTTCTTCAAGTACGGGTGGTTACTTCCTTAATTTTGTCTCAAAGCTCCCTTTTGGTTCTTCTTCTCATGCTCCACGGATGAGCTTTCCATTTTAGGTACATGTTTGAGAGAAAATAATGCTTCAGTCGAAGGGAGCAAAGAAAAGGACAAAGGTGAGGTGTTTTTCTGGCAACGGTTTCCGGCAACAAGGCAAGGTACAGCTGAAGTTTGTGGCAAATAAGAAAGAGACGAAGAGATGCAGGGTGTTTGTCACTGTGGTAATATGATGTTCCACACTCTGTGCTGGTATGATGCTCGAAGTAAAGCTGTATTCTCACCCTCTTACATTCAATGGAGGGATCAGTAAGCGACAAATCCTTCAAATCGTATTCTCCTCAGTAATAATCCATTTGAGTTCATATTAACACAAAACTTAACAGTAATGATAACATTTACTTTACATCAACTGCACTTGCAAAAATCTTTTGCCATCATATCAGTAACCACGATGCCATAAAGAATAATACACAACCATCATTAATCAGAGACAGGAATATAGATTTGCCAGTGTGATTGGCAGGTGAAATCCTCGTTAGATTAACAAACCAGCAGAAGTTCATCGTTCCATTCCCAGTGTTGCAGAACATGGACAACTCAAAGATAACCCAGGCATAGCAATCAACCTAACCTCGCTTCTCTTTGCAATACCTGGTTAAGGAAAAAAGGGAGCAGGTTTGAATCAAGTTTTTAGCAACAGCCAGAACATAAGAATCTATTCCCAGGGAAAACATTAAAATGCTAGTTTATGATGCAGCCACCATTAACTTAGAACTAACTGGAGATGCCTTCTTCAGTAATATGCATGTTATCCACACTACAATAAGTCAATATGCTATGCTACATAGCAGCCAAAATACCATATTCTGATGCAAGCTACATGTTGCTCTTTGGGCTTTTAAAGCGTTCTTCACAAATATAATAGAGCATATGTGGACTTTTCCCCTTACATGCTGTTATGGTGATGATGATGATGATAGGTATAGAAAAATGTTAGTGTGGAAACAGACAACAGCAGTGCCAAATGTTTTTGAAAAGTTAAAGAAAAAGAAACTTGCATGACCAGCTGAATATTGCTCAGAGAAAGGGAACTCAAATATATTGTATATATTGTAATAAGTGTTCAAAACCAAGCCCTAAATTTTCTACTTGATTTTTTTTTTCCATATCCCAAGCAACTCTCTTCTATTAGCACTACTCCTTTTGAGCCTCTACCAGTAGTTCATAATTATTTTTGGGTAATCCAGTAGTTCATTAATTAAATCTGAAATAGTGGAAATGCTTCTTTTGATGCTGTAGAGATCTATTCATAAGAATAAACTGAGTTTCTAATCATCCCAGTCCAAAACAAACTAAGAGAAAGGTAAGCTAGACATTATTGAATGAATCACAAACATAATACCAAGCATCAATACTTTTTATTAAATGGGACAACTACACTTGGGCACACCAGACTTTGTTTAAGGAGGGAATATGATGCAAGAGCATAAGAGTAGTGCCCACCTCTTCAGCAAACTTTATCAAAATAGTTGTCCGAGGTCTTTGCTGTCCCTCCATAGGTACAAAATGAGCTGTTACTACCGCTGGAAATCCTGCACTATCCAAAACACCCTTCCAACCAACAAAAAGAGGCTATAAGGGCTTCCATCCACCAGATCAGTCATTTCGAACAAAATAATTAATGAAGCACTTACCCTCACTATTCCAGCAACAAATGCCCCACAATTAAAAGTCCCCATGTCTTTTGGAGTTGAAATAAACCTACAATGAAATACAGACCAGTTGGTCATTAATCTGAAACTAGAGATCTAGCTAGCTGAAGCAATGGCATTATAAGTGATAAGTGGTGGGCAATGCATAACTTGTTCACAAGGAGTTCCTTCTCACTGATCATGTATTCGTCTTCATGTTCAGTGCCCTTCTCAAGTGAGTCAGCCACCTAACATAGTACGAAAAATGAGCAGGTCAGAGATGTACTATATTGGAGGCTACACTGATTTTAAGCATATGTTGAAGATGTTAGCCAGCTAGAGTTGCCATGCCTATAGGCTTATAGGAAAATACACAAATCTGTTTGACAATATCAACAAGCTTTCAATTGTTGCACCAATAGACAAGATTGCAGACTTACCTTTCCAAATAACACCTTCCAGACAGTGCTGTGCACAAAAGACAAAATACCCAACAATCGAGTCTCCCTTCTATTTCCCTGTGGCATAAAAGAACACAAGTTTAGTACTGGTGCTGACATATGGATGCAAACAAGTCAAGCTACTCGTGAGCTACTAGGGCTTGACTTGATGAGTACATGAGTTTGACTCATTCATTGCCAAGCTGAGCTTCAGCTCGGGCTACTTGAGTAACAAGTTGATACTTGACTAAAGTGGCTCGTGAGTCGTATCGAGCTTTTGAATTTTTAAAATTTTTTAATATTAATACATATATAAATAAAATATAATATTTATTCACATATTTTAACTTTTATTTGAGTTTTTACATTGAACTTGAGCTATTGAGTTTCAAGCTTTTTATATAAATTAATCATAATTGAGCCTAATCGAGTCAAGCTCTAGTAGCTCAATTATTTTTCAAGCCAAGCTTAAGCACCAAAAAGTAAACCTCGACCAAGCTTCGGCCTGACACTAGATTGGCTCAATTACACCCCTAAGTTGACACCATGGAAGAATACACATATTCATACAAATGAGCACACATCATTGCGAACACATTGCCAAACCAAGATACACAAAATGAAAGCAAATTTAATCCACATACCACCACCAAGCATATAAGGTGAGTAAGGCTGGCATACTTGTATTACATCATGACCTTCTCACCTAATTAGCAGAATTAAAACTCTGCTTTTAAAAGTCAGATCCTAACTTCCAAGTAATACCTCGAGAACAGTAATGAAGATTAAACAGGAGAACCTTATTGCTACTGAAGTCTCATCTCAAGTATAATCTGTGAATGTGCTGTACCTTATCCCTATGGCACAAAAGTTCAAGAACTCGAGCCCCAACTGCATACCCTGCATCCTCCAGCCTGATCCATTCCCATGAATAATATTAGACTTATTCACACTAGAAGAACCACTGACTGAACTAACCATTGTAAAAATATTTGCAATATAATTAAACATAAGGAGCTCTTTGTTCTACTTTTCTGTCATTTATTTATTGTCATTGGATTCTTCAATAAATAATCTAATCTCAAGAACACATCGGTTGCCAATGGAAAGATTCAAGCAAGATATATCAAAGGTAAAAGTATCACTACCTTCTTTCTAATTCGGCAATGTTATCAACCTGTGTTTGATTGTACTGAACAAGCTCCGAAAACAAGAATGCAAATGCACTCAAGCTAACCTGCAATGAAAGCACAACCATCCATTAATGCAAAAGTATAGTTTGGAATTTGAATCCAAATTGAAAAAAAAATCCCCCAATCAAAGCCATTGTTGATTCGGTTAGTTTGGGTTTGTCCCTAATTTGTGTGATTCGATCAGAATTTGTCAACTAATGTCCAATTCAAATAGTTCAACGAGAAAATAATACTATTTAAAAGAAATAAAACAGTTAGATCCCAAATATTGCAACAAGAAAAAAAAGTGAAGATCGAAAATATTTGAAACTCAGCTTGCTTGCTAAGAAGCTGAATATAGAGTTTTATCTAAAATAACAGGAACAAAAAATTGTAACTCTCTAGTTTAAATTTTACATCGTATTTTGCTACATTTTCACAGGAATCCAAACATAAGAAGAAGAAGAAGAAGAAGAAGAAAGAGAGAGGGAGAGGAGAAACCTCTTGTTTGCCCTTGCTGAGGGGCTTGTCGAGGACGTTAGAGTATTGCTTGATCTTCCCGACTCCGATCATTTTCTACTGGAAGGAAAATTTATTTTCTGTTTGGCTGCTGAGAAATCGCAGGAAAAATGAATCAGCTATGAGCTACGCGAGCACCGAGCGAGCATTCGTGTGCACTTCACTACGCAAGCCCGTTTTGAACCGCCGGTCTAGTTGGTTTTTCTCCGCATCGAACACACACGCGCTCACGCGTTTCCCCCGCTCTTTTATTCGCCCTTTTTCTTTGCTTTTTTTCAAATTTCCTAGCTTTAAAAAAAATACTAATAAGTTTGTTATTGCATTAAAATATTAAAAAGATTAATTTGAATATTCATCATATTATTTTTAAATATTTTAAAATTATATCCAAGTTTTCCAATTAAAACTATTTTTGTAATATTATATTATTAAAATACTAATTTTAGTTCGGACAGCTAGCTTTTTAGAGCACTTGAATAATAAAATTTATAAAGTAAAAAGTAAAATACTCTTTCTTTAAAATGTTATATAGTTTAAAAAGTGAACATTTAATTTAAAATAGAAAGAGTAATTTAAAGTTAAATACTCATGTGAAATATATGGATTTACATTTGATTTACGATTACTCTCTTAAATTTTTATTTTATAAATATATGACATAGTAATACATATTTCGATATTTGATTTTTTTTTTGTTTATACAATTGAGTTATCGTGTAAAAAGTAAAGGAAAAATATTTCACTCTTTAAATCTTAATTATAATTTCACACAAATTCATTACTATTTGAAATAAACAATTTATTTAAAAATTTTAAACTACGTTTACAAAAAAAATTAAAATACTATTTTTTTCTCCCGTATTTTTCACTAATTTTCTTTTTTTCAAGCCAATCGACAACGTTTTCTTATATCAATTGATATTTTTAAAATTAATGAAAAGTAAAATTATTCAAAAAATATTACTACGCCATCAAACTAGCGAAAACATTAATAATTGATTAACGATTGGACTTATATGTCTAGTCTAACAAAATATATTTTTTTAGACGGATTATCTATTTCAAATATTAATGAATTCATGTAAAATTATGATCAAAATTTAAAAAATCATGATATTTTACCTTAAAAGTAAATATGGGTGTGCATGTTTACATGCAATTCTCAATCATCGAATACATGAATCTATCAAATTCAATTTTTATTTTAACTTTAAATTCAATTATTTTCAATCGAGATTAATTTTAGATGTTTCTTTCCATTCCTTTATAATCTCATTTTTTTCTTTTTTTTTTTGTAATTTGTAATTTGAACTTGAGATTAACTTTGTTATTATTAATTGTTATAGCTTTGTGTTTGACAATGTCCGTGATGAACTAATTTTAATTCATCAAATATATTTATATATAGAAAAATCATAAAAAATGAAAAATTTAAAATATAAGGTATTCATGAATCATATTGCACTTAGATATTTGGAATCAATTACTAGCTTTTATGTAGTGTTATAAATTTTGGGTGCTAGCTATAAATGTTGTACATGTTTCCCTACAACCAAAAGCATACCCCATTTCTAAGCTAAAGGTGAATTTCTCATTTAAATGCTACTTACCAAAGTTAATGTATATTCATTACATATTCTAGAGATAGGCAAAAGTTAAAAACAATAAAGTTAATTGATACATTTTACTTATTCATTTGTTATTGCATTACTTTTAATTAAGACATAATATCCAGAGAAGCTTCTAAATTATTTATGAAATTTTAGATATTTTTTTATAATGTTATTATATTTGATTAAACTTTTAATATTTTTATTTTAAATTAAATAAATTTTTATAACTAGTAATTGAGTTAGTGAAAATATTATTTATTATTTTATGTCACAAGACATGTTAATATACCATAATTGATAATAATATGATATATTGACATACCATAATAATGTCATAACATAATTAATTCTAATGATTTTATGTGTGAAATATTATATTTTAAATTTTAAAAAAAGTTTATTAGATGTAAAAATGCATTATTTATCAATTTAATATCTATGGACCGAAATTCCCCTTTTAATCAACAAAATACCATAGAAGGAGATAAGAGGAAAAGGGAGTGAGGAGAGGTAAACGTCAGGGGAAAAACACAATGTAACAAAGGTTAAAATGAAGCCTCTTCTCTTACAAAAGCAGAAGGACGCCAACATTTAACAAACAAACGCAATCAAAACCCTTTCCCTAACTCTCTCGTTGCCTTCTTTTCTCTGTTTCTCACTTTTTCTGTCTCGGCCTCTCTTTTATTCTCTTTTAGGGAATTCCGATGGAGGACGAGGATGAGTTCGGAGATCTGTACACGGACGTTCTCAAGCCTTTCTCATCAACTTCCACGACATCATCGGCGTCCGCTGCTCCGCAACGCCACCAGCCTACCCCGACGCCGGCAAATGTCCACCGTCCGATCGATCTCAACGTTCAATCCCAAGACGATGACATCGCCCTCTTCGGAGGTCCACGTCAAATTCCCGCTACCCAAACCCTAGCTCCTTTTAAATCTCCTTCTCTTCCTCCTGCTACTGCCGCTGTTGTTCCGGATTCGATTCCTAAACGCGATTCAGCTCCCAAACCAATGGTTCTGGATTCTAAACAAGAAGCAATCGATGGCAAAGACGTTAAATTTGATATTGAAGAGGGGGGTAGTAATGGAAGTGAGGATATGGGCTCAGATGACCCGATAATCCCGGGTTTAACCGAATCTGTTTGCCAGGAAGATTCTGTAAGGAACAATAACGGAAACGATAACGGAATTCGAGAGGGTGAAGCGGAAGCCGAAGGAGAAGGGGATGATTGGGATAGTGACAGTGAAGATGATCTACAGATAGTGTTAAACGACAACAACCACGGCCCGATGGCTATGGAAAGAGGAGGAATGATGGGGGAAGACGACGACGAAGATGGGGACACACTCGTGATAGTGGCTGATGGAGATGCAAACCAAGGGATAGAGGAGCAGGAATGGGGAGAAGAAGGAGGGCAGGCGGCTGATGGGGAGAGGAAAGAAGGTGGAGAAGCGGGGAAGGTTGGCGGTGGAGCCAGCGGAGGAGGAAGTGTGGTTCCGCCAAAAGTTGGGTACAGCAATCATGGGTACCATCCGTTTCATTCTCAGTTTAAGGTCAGTGTGCTAACATGTGTTGTTGAATCAAACAATTTGGAAACATTTGGACAAAAATGGGGTTTCTGTTTGTCATATGCCCCAATTGTGTGATGAATGATTAGGATTTAGCGTAGTTACTGGCTTGTAAACTTTGTACAGAATGAAATGATGAATAACAGTTTTTTCATTTTTTCCCCCTGAGTGGGGAGTATATTGCTATGTTTTTTCATTTTGATATTATTTTTGAATATTGAAGATCATAACGTTGTACTCAGAAATCATTATGGGTATCCTTAAAACATAAAACTTTGCCTCCAATGATGCTTGTGTAGGCTCAGAGTTAAATCTATCAACAGTAACATGCTGGTTTTTTTGCTTCGCTAGAAACCTCACTTATTCCAAGGGTCAAACTTTTTCAACTTATTGTTGGCTAATGCAATACTGACTTGTAAGCAAGAATTACTTGATTCATCTTTCTTCTTATCGTAAACTTGTACATGACAACTTAAGAAAAGGGTTTTGGTTGATTTTCACAATGTTCTGGGGCACGTTAGTTAATGGTGTCAAATGTCAATAGTAAAACCTTTGCGGATAAGGTATATAACTGCAACCACAGTTAATGCCTTTTTAATGTAATCTGTGAAGATATGGCCGTTGGTCTTTCATGTGTCACCTACAGCAATAATTCTCTGTAGTAGCTGTTGAAGATGCACAATTATGTTTAGAACTATTTGTTTATTTGTGCGTCAAGTAATTTGTGGACAAAAGCAAATCCAGATACTTCTGCAAAGAAAAAGTGGACACAAACCTATTGGTACAGTGGATGAAACTGTAAAAAGTAACATTATACTCTGTAACTTGAACACAAAAAATTTTTTGTTTCTCAAAATGCAAGATTAACTGCTAACCTTGCTGAAAATATGTTTCTCTTTACACTTGTTCCCAACCATTTTCAAACAGCAGTTGATTAGATTTACCTATACTTTTTCATTGGTTGCATTACAGAGTATAAGTTATTTCCAGCTTGAAATTTGTTATTGTAATTGGCATTTTGGTTGCACACGTAGGTGGTGCAACTTCTTCCTTGTCAATTAGTTTATGAGCTGTTAGCTCTATGTTATGATCAGTGTATCCTCTGATATTCTTGGTTCTTGATTTGTATATTGTCTTGTTGCATTCTATAGAGTGGATTTTTTGTTTTGATTTGGCTTAAGAAATTTTGATTTAGCTGTGTCTTTTACTTAAAACTTAATGGTTGTTGGTATTTCCTTTCTAATGTGATGCAAAAGTTGACCTTAGTCTGGAATGTGATGTCCAATGGAAAGTTTATTTTAAGAAGCCACATATATGTCAAGGTTCTGGTCATCTGTTGTAAACTGTAAATTTGTATAGCAGAATGGAAAAAATTGCATTGCTGGATGATCATAGCATTTCTTTTATTATGGGGCTTATGCTGCTTGTTCACTTCGGTTTCTGATTTATATTTTGATCTGTTTTCTGCTACATGCAGTATGTAAGACCTGGTGCAGCACCAATGCCTGGAGCCACTACAGGTGGTCCTGGAGGAGCCCCGGGTCAGGTTCGTCCACTGATGGGTGCTATGTCTGGTCGTGGTAGAGGTGATTGGAGGCCACCTGGAATGAAAGCTGCTCCTCCCATGCAAAAAGGTTTCCATTCTAGTTTTGGAATGCCTGGTTGGGGTAACAATATGGCGGGGCGAGGTTTTGGTGGTGGGCTGGAATTCACACTTCCTTCTCACAAGTAATTGCTCAGTTTTCAATAATTGCGTTATTACTTAATGTTAGCTGATAGTGTGAATTTTGTGCATAATATATTAAATCCATTTTATTTTGGCTTGTAGAAGCTGAAAATGGAGACAAATTGCTTGTTGCAGGATGCCTTTTGGCTTCTGTCAAACTTTGTTATGTTTCATTCTTCTAATATCATGTACAAACTCATGTAATTTCATTGTTTGGTTTCACCTGACCAATTTTTGTTTAATCCCTATGTGATATCAGGACT